CAAAGAAACCCCAAACCAAGATTTCAATCACTTTGAACACAGCTTTGCACACTCACCGCTTTCTATGAGGTTTCCACTAAGTATGTCACATAGAGACCAACCGCACAGAAATCACGTGGAAGTATAATGTGCCCCTCACATCAGAAAAGCAGTTTTATATACTGCCCTATATCACGCGTGATAATGAGGCATTCTTCCCTGCGGTTCATTTTCGGATTTCTGGAATTAATCCAGAGTGCCTCGAGGGTTTTTCGCGCCTGTGTTCTCGATTCTTTTTTTTTTTTTTTTTTTTTTACTTCGAAGTCGTCCCCGTTATGTCTCTGGGTCCTATGCGTGCCTAGCGGGGTATTTGGTCTATTTTTGCCGGCTAGGTGTTCTTTCATGCGGACACAGAGGGGTCTACCCGTTTCGCCAATGTATTCGTCACCACACGTCTTACAGGAGATCAGATAAACTATACCCGAGCTCGTGCAATCACCGTCTCTACCACTGGGGCAAATTATGCAATTTTGAGTTGCACATAGACGGTCATATAGGCGGTTACGAACTAGCTGGCGCTTAAGATTACTCGGTGGTATTTCAACTACGCTCACCGAATTCTCTAAGCCCGCCCCTCTTAAGCAGCGTTTTATAGCTGTACTTATATCATTTGAGATGAAGGGTAGGATAAACGGGACCCTTCTATCGCTAGAGTTGTCGTTTGGAGGCCTACGATTTCCTCTACACCTATCCTGAGCTACAGTTTCGTAGCCATTAGAAACGGCTATTTGCCGTGCCAAGTTCCGGGACTCCTCTCTCTGCTCTCTTCCCGTGCACACGTTGGTTGCTGTTCGAAACATGTTTCTTATAAGCGCCCTTTTCGTGTGAGAGGGGTGAGAGGAGAGGTAATGAACCAAGATATTTTTACTACTTGGCTTTCGGTACCACTTTGTAATGTAGCCATTTTCTGCGGTTGGTCTCTACGTGACATACTCAGTGGAAGCCCCATAGAAAGCGGCGAGTGTGCAAAGCTGTGTTCAATGTGATTGAAATCTTGGTTTAGCGTTTTCCTTGTTTGGTTATGGAGGTGTTCGGCAGAATAGATTGCTGTCAACTTGACCTTTCCAGGCTCTGAGAAAGGCGAAATCCATCGAAACGTCAGCTATTGTATTCTAATAAATTCTATATTAACAACCTCGTGTCTGCTTATTGAAGAAAAACATTGAATTATCAATTAATGCCAAGGTTAACAGAAAGTCGGTCTTGGGAATTGCAACATGAATAGTTTGTTTGCAGTTCACTTTTAGATAAGAATACACCAAGATAGATTCAGATACCCGTATCCGTACCGGTTTTTCAAAAACTACTTCCTTGCTTACTTCCTTCACTAAGCCTCATCATCGTCTATGAACACACCTCACACTATAGCAGAGACTCATAAAATTGTAATTAAACTTATGGAACGTCAATAAAATACAGAAAAGTACGAGAGCACACCGGCGCACTCGTTGTATTTGGTTTCTAATGGATCCTGGTATTGGTTTACTTTTAGCTGGGCTTCCTGATGGAAACGCTGAACTCATTCTCAGTTAAGGAGACCATTCTGGGAGTACGAATGTCCATGCTGTACATCGCAACGCGACAACCAGGAACACTTCTCGATAACGATGAGGCGGCACACCATTGGGAGACATCTCATAGCAGATTTTATTAGACGTTAAGCTACTTTTTTCCAACGACCCGTCTCTCACATCTATTGTGCGAATTCCAGCACTTCTAGCATCCGGTTCGTTTCGTAGCATCCGCATCCACGTAGACCTTACAATTTCTTGCATGTAGCTTTGACTGCTGCTTGCGGGTTTTCACTTCAGCTTGGATATCGTAGAATGATAATCGAGTCGATTCTCTCTGGAGTCCTGTGATAGCAGGTCCAAGGCATTGATTTCAGAGAGAGAACCTTTCTCAGACGGGTGCGGTACCAATTTATTGTGGAGACAGTGCGCGTCTAACGAACGTGGCTGAACAGATGACTTCGCTTCCAGGGTGTTACGCACGGATACCCTCTTTTGCCATCGAATCCAACGTAACGCTAAGCTGGTAGAGCCTACGCTATATAGAGCGCTGCGTATATGCAACGGGTTGGTGCAAATATCTCTCACTGAGAGTGAACTAAGAAAATAAGTGCGGCATACGGAATGCTGTTGCTTAGTGATGATGTTTTTATTCACTGAGAGTTCTTATCGAAAAACGTCATTCAGTTTTTCAAATTTTCTGGATATTATTGATTAGGATGTTCCTCTTGCGAACATCGTGTTTGCTCAGTGATCGATGAAGATATTGAGCAACACATAGTTGTTGTAAGTTGTGACAGAGGATTTCGATTGTTTTCTGAAGTGTGTCTACTTTCCAGATGTGTTTTAAGAGTTGCTGTGTTCTTTGCCTTAGTAGTATTTTATTGAATTGTGAAAATTTCATTGCAGAATTCTGCAAAATGGCAAGAATGTGACAATGTATTTGTTTGACATTCTGGACGGACCTAACCACGAGATGCACGGAGAGTATGTGTTTTGTTGTTTCCAGTACTTTTCCTGTTTCTCAAAGGTTTTTTGTTTCATTTAAGGACCATCGACAATCTGACAATAGACGCTCATCCTAGTGAAGAAGCTGTCGTTGTCAGATACCGAGCAAGTAACGTTCGTACACATCATTCTTCGGATTGTCAGAAGCTGTAGGTTTCCTTCTCATAAAGAACTAGTGGAAATAGTTTTATAACAGTCCTTTTTAAAATTAACGGACTTCTATTTTTAGAATTTCGTAAGTTTCGTGGAGGATTGTAGGGGCCTTCTATTGCACTGTTGAAACTGATGAGCTATGTATCCAAGGCTCAATTTTAGCAAATTAAAAAGTGGGGAAGTAACTTCTTCGTCTGCTGAATTGATAGAAATGGCATCTTATGTCCGAAATTTTGTGGCTTGGTTTCAACTTGTCCACAACGCTATATTCTCGTCAATATAACCATATTTCTCTTACGATTTTTTCTTTTCAGGATTAATCTGAAAGACCTTAACGATGATGTTGATGTCCAGTTGTTGGCTAATGTTGTCATGGAAAAATGTACGATAATTCCTGAAACAATGCGACAAGAACTGGAGCACGTTTTGTCCTACTTACAAAAGCGGTCCAATAACAGAAATAAGCCTGCTCGTGAGTGATAATTAGTAGTCCTTTCCAGTTGTTGATGTTGAAAAGGCTTTAAAAATGAAGGATGCGCAACTCATCTAGGAGTACAACTACAATAATGCCGAGATATTTGCAAAACTCTAGACCGTAGGTGTTTGCGGCGGGGATCGAACCTCGTTATTACCCTTTACGGGGGTAACGTGTTCATCACCACACAATGCGTTTCCTTCGTTTCGCCTTTCTCTTCTTCTTGACTTCTAGACCATAACAAATATCCATTCTCTGTGCATTGTTTGATTACAGGTTGTTCGTCTTCACTTTCATCAAATGACACTTCGCCATCGAACTCATCAGTGAGAGCCGACATAGATCAGATAGACGTGCGTTTAAACCTGCATTTACCGTCTAAATTTTTTTCTTTTTTATCCTAAGAATAAAATGATTTTCCACTAGTGGTTAGCACTATTGGATCTTAAATGTAAAGATCATCTGAACGTTTACAGATTCCTGCTGTGTTGCTTCGAATGGTGGTAGTCGTTACGTAAAATTTTTTTCAGTCCTATATCGAACTGTTCTATGAAGATGCCAGTGAGAAGAACCGTGGAGCTTTGTGTATTTTAGAACTTACCAAAACCACTGCGAATTTGGAGATACTGATCGAAAACGGTAAGTTCGTATAAGGCGCGCGATGTAAGCCGGGAGAAGTTTTCCGCTTTCCAAATCGTCGAATGTAAAGGTGCGAGTTTTCATTTCCTCTGCATAGATTCGTTCCATGTGCATTCTCCAATATTTTAGTTCCCAGCTGTTCTATTAAAAAGACAGTTACTTTTTCCATTCTCTCAGATGGTAATCCACCATGTACGAATAGATAGCATTTGAATTTTGTTGAAGTGGTATCCTTTGATCCCAGTTATATCGCTTGAAGTCTTAGTGGTAGGAACAGTGTGTAATCGGTACTCTTTTTTCGAAAGCACTGGGTTAGGTGACTGTGCCATCTAAATCATTGTTTCCGTGTGGATAGCTTTGTATTAATATTAGCATTAATCATTATTAATTCTTAGGACTTCGTTATTTTGCTTAAATATTATCCCCTACTTGTAATGCTTTGAAAACGAAAATTGTCGAAACATCGGCTGAGCCCAAAAATACGCTCTATTAAAACCTCTTGTCGATTCACAAAGAGTGTAAGAAAAAATCTCTTAAATCTCTTACTTTCCAATTCGTCGACCCTGACGAGATAAAGATATTTGGCGTTCTTCATGCTCTTGGAGAGATGAGTATTTCCATTAGCAAAGCACACAAGTTCTTTGTTCTTTAGCTCTTTAAACTGCATTGACATTAACAAATCAATCTGGGGTGTTCTGCTTTCTTTTCGGAAACTCCATAGGCTGTTCAGCTGCTAAATTTTCCGTTCTAGAAACGCTTATTGGTGCGCTAGCACGAGTATTTCGTGAAGATTGGAAGAAGAATTTCGATCTTGCTACAACAATTATTCGAATTTTTTTGCAGTTCTCCTACTACAACCAGTTCCAAGCAGCGTTATTTCATCATAAGGTGTGCTTCCTACGACGTGTATAACATGTTGTCTCAGATGTCTTACTGTTTAAATTTATATATATATATATATGTATATATATGTATGCATATGTATATACTTATATACGTATACATGTTCTTGCGGGCTGCCCTTGTTTACCTGACACGAGATTGGTAGAGATCTTATTTATTTATGTGATCTAATAAACTGATCTTGTTGAGCTGATGCGAGGTTGTTGTAAGTCTCCGTCGTTGTTGTTGGTCGATGGCTGACGTTCCGGCGATTTTAGCTTTCTCAGAGCCTTGATGTGTTTTGTACAAAAGTAGTTTAAGTATTCAGTGGAAAAAACGAGAGTATTAATGAAGATCTAACATATAAATAAACTCCGTATTGCTGAAGAACTACCGACCGTGCTGTTACATGACCTATACTTTAAACTTATGCCAACCTCGTATCAGCTTCAGTTCAACAAGATTAGTTCATAAGATCACATAATATACCAACTACTAGTGTCGAAGTTTATAGAAAGTCGGTCTTTTGAATTATTAAAAGATCTTTTTGTTGTTTACGGGTTATTAGCTGCCGGTTCGGCGGTTTCGCCCTTTTCAAATCCTGAGAAGGGCGTATTGGCATGAAATCGGAAAAGATCGACTTGCCAACTTTATGTCAACTAAACAAGAACAATTCTTAAGAACATAGATATGTCGATTGTTATACCGAGCTTTATAAATAGTCGACATTTTATCTTAATCTTTTTCTTTTGTGCAAGCATATTTATACAACTTTTTTTGGACTTTTTCTTTAGTTTTCTTTTTTCGGTTCAGATTGGTGCATTATGCATGAATGCAATGGAATATGAATTGAAGCGTGGTGATTTATGGGCTGCTGAAGTAAAGAATGTTGACGAGAGAACTGCACGAAAATGTCGTCTTGCTATTCGCAAACAGCAGACATTATTAGCAGGTGAACTGTTATATATCACATGGGTATATTGTCGACTTTTCATCCAAAAATTATGTGCTAAGTTTAGTCACAATAAATAGTTGGAACATTGCTGTTAATCTGACTACTCAAATCTATCTAGTGAACCTCTTAGGTAGAAAACTCTCCCTCTGAAGGTAGACTTGTGAGTTTCATGTGATAAAAGCCTCAAAAAAGAAAGCGGTACGAGCTATATTCATAAGTTTGTGCAAGAAAGTGTAGCTGAACTTTGATTTAAGGTATTTGCATCATTTAGCTTGCATATCACTGTTAGTCAATCTCGCTCATGATGTTACCATTGAGCTGAAGATGATTCGTCGTGATATAGTTCCTATGCTGTTACGATGCCTGGACCTACGAGATTCAGCGGAACTCACTTTGTCCACAGTTCAGTTTTTACTAAAACTAAGTATATTTGAAGAGAATAAGGCAGCAATGGTTAGTTCTCAGTAGTTTGTCGATTATTTCTTGTATAGAGTCTTTTTTTACTTTGTAGCCAAACATGTTTTGTCTAATAAGTATTGAATTTCAGGAACAGGGAAACATTATTGGTAAACTACTGCTCTTATTTCCAATAGGTGATGTTGAATTGCGCAAGACTACCATACGTCTCCTTTTCAACCTATCATTTGATGTGAAAGCTCGTAGCAGAATGGTAGCCGAAGGTCTTGTTGGCCAAATTACACCACTGATCGAAAGTAAGTAGTAAGGTTGGAGATTTCGAGTATTTTTTGCGGTATCCTTTGCTGCAAAATGGTAATTAACAAGAAAAGCTTGGAGATTTTATTGAATAACAAAGTGCTTATGGAACAAAATGTTATTTAGATGATGCGAAGGCTCTGAATCTTCTCTACCAGTTAAGTGTTAATGATGATGCGAAAGCCATGTTGACGTTCACTGATGCCATGCAGTTAGTACGTTTTGCTTGATTTCCATTTTTATTAAAATAAGGGTGCAAGATAATATGGTCTTTCCGGGCTACAAATCATTATTGTTAACTGCTTAGCTAATGCGTGATTTACTGTCTGGAAGTGGCAGCGAAGTGACAAAAGCAGTTTTACTAAATGTATGTGCTGAGAAGCGAAATGCCCAACTTGTGTGCGGCCAAGACGGCCAAGGGTACGTCATTCCAAATGGGTCTTCAAATCCAAGCATTACTAGGTTGTAATTTAGGCTCGCTTTGTTACTGGATGCCGCGCTAGATGGTCGTGACCTTATGGTGGCAAAGATTGTTCGAAGTATCGCTAGTCATGAAGGTCCAACGCAGGATATGTTCGTGGTGAATATTCGAAACTCTAAAAGCTGGCATTTTTATTACTATCTATCAAGAAGAATTGTGGTTTTGTAGTGACCCAAATTTTATGTTTCCCATGCAAATCTCCGTATAGAATTCCTACAGAGTTCAATGCCGCGCCTCTTGGAAGCTGGGATTAAGTACTCGGCTCTGCAGGAAGACGAGAATGCATCCATAGGTCTTGAGTTTATTGGTGCAGCGGCCCTCATAAAAGTAGCAGATTGGAGTAGGTAGGTTTTATATCGTCGTGGAGTGACCGTATTTCAATTCAATCTAGGCCGCCAATATTTGCACTTAGTTTGATCTCCTTGTACGGGTTGCTCAACTGGATTGGTGAGCAATTGAGAACTTCAGCAAACGTTAATGAGCCTCTTCAACTACAGGTGTAGTAACTAAATATTTGTCCACTTGTTAATAATGCCTTAATTTCTTGCTATATAGGTGGTTATAATGTGTGGTACTATGGCCCGTCAGTTGGAAGCAGCTCGGAATTTGGTACCCCTTCTAGAGGTATTTCTCCAGTTGGTACATTGTGGGTTCTGCATACTACTAGTAGCGCACATTTTCTGACATTTCATTGGTTGATTCGTTGATCTTTTGCAGCTATGCAAGAAGACGACGAATTCATTGTACAATTGTTGTATTTGTTCCTTCAACTGCTACGTCATCGTGAATTGGCCAACCATTTGTTGGGAGCCGATTCAGCCTTAGGGGCGTACGTCATTGACCTGATGCATGACAAAAATCCTGCTATTAGAGAGATGTGCGACAATGCATTAGTGATTATAGGAGTAAGTTGCCATACTTTTCTAATTGAACAACGTTTAATAATACGAATCTTGTTAGTACTTTTGAAAGTTCAAAGGTTAATATTTTGTTTCCATAGCAAGAGTGAACGAACAGGGTTCTGGTTTTCCACTTATGAACTCGTAGTGTCGTTAAACATACACGTGGTAGCAGTAGTTCACTTACATCATACTATGTATTACTTTGTGCTTGTTATTTGAAAATAAATTTCCATTTAACGAGGCTCATAGGGATGCAGAAGCTGTTCAGTGTGAACCAGAAATCGAAACGATAGAAGAATGCACAGCTTGAGTACTTTATTGCTGTTTCATACACGGTCGTTACGCATAGGCTTTTTATAACACAACTCACTGATCAATTCAGCAGCCGTAAACAATAATTTGAAGGTGTGTAGGAGTACGTGAATGTAAACGATTGAATCACTTTAGGAACATTCCCAAGAATGGGCTCGTCGTATCGCTGGAGAACGATTTCGCTGGTACAACGCGCAGTGGTTGGACACTGTAGAGGGTGGTTTACCTTCTGATGAAAGCGCTGTAGCCGACGATGACTATGTACCGGGAATGTTGTTTGGCGATCAGTTTGATGACGGTTTCGATATCGCTGCTGATGAACCACTGTTCTAGTGGCACTACTTTGTTGTAATCTAGCTACACATTTGGCAGTGCTTTCACATATATTAATGAGTTGGAATTCTATGAAGACCCACGGTTTCTGCATGTAAATCGGGAGTTCTGTGTTTACATCCTAAACACCCTACTGAATCATGTGAACGATTGCCAAGCATACCCTTTGCTGTATCATTTGCATATTTTCACTGTGCATCCCATTGAAAAAAAAATAATGAATTGTAGTGTTAGATTAGTACTCTCGCAACAAGTCTTATTGCGTGCGAGGCTACGCTTTAGATCCTCAGTTGATATCCTCGTACATTTGTGAAGTACCTCGAAGTCTGTCTTCCTTTCATGAAGAGCGTATCAGATACTTCTTGTATCGATTTCAGTGTCAACATTATGGTGATCATTTTACACTGGAAACTTCACGGAAAATAGTAGAGCAAGTCCGAATTGATGAAACTATTAGAGCAATATCTTTCTAGTCGATTTATGGATCATGATAAGATAGTTACATTAGTTTTCTTTGTATAAAATATAACGTCGTGAAAAGCTAGTCTTGCATTCAGGTGACTTTCTTGGTTAGGATTTGCTCAGGTTCATGACAGTAGGAACTTCATACTTGATACTAGAACGACCCGTCATCACAAGTTGTGCGGGCCTCAGCATAATTATCACTTTTGGAGATTTGCTGGTGAAGCCATTGTGGTTCCCTGGAATCCCGAGGTCAACCTGGCCAAAGTCTGCCCAAGACAGTAGGAACTTGCATGTGGAAAGTTACTTCTGTGTCTAAGCTATTCGCCATTCAAGTGTCGTTTGTCTGTTTTGGTTTATAGTAATAATTGTAGGCTTATGTCTAAAGTACATGTCATTTACAGTTTTCTTGCTGAATATTTCGTAAACAATGCTTATTTTGATCTACAATGGATCTCATTCGTATTTTACGAAATGAATTGTAAAAATTATGGGATCGAAACGTAAATCTGTGCTTATCTTCACTTTTAAATGTGTACCGTGTTTCGTTCTGGATTATCTGCTGCATTGATATGTATTAGTTATATACAGTTTTATTTCATAGTGTTAGGTTTCTTCAGATGATAGTAGGATGGTTATGGGCATCAGCAACTCACGCGCAGGTATTTTTATTATTCGTATTGTTTATTCCTATCGACATCTTAGTGAATGGAAGTGTTTGCTTGTTTTTCATTCAGAAGCCGTCCGTTTTTAGGGTCGGCGAGGCATTACTGCAGCTGGAGTGTGTCTTTGTTGTGTCGCCATTTTGGCTTATTGTGTATCGATAAGCCATTCCATTGGTACTTTCAATATTTTACACATTGACAGTCTTTAAGAACTACAAACACGTTGGCGATGACGATGATTTTCGAGAGCTGCCTGTAATTTTTCTAGGATTGGAGTACAACAGCAGTTGAGAACTAGCAATTCTTGTAGTCCGATATGCCTAAAACATCGTTTTCATTTTGGATTTGCTTGAAGTTTAAATTTTGACTTTTATTTGCCAGACTTTTAACTTCTTGCCAAATTCCGGCGCAAGCAAAGTAGCCGCGACCACTTGCAGTTTGAGGGAGGACGTCATGTTTGATGAGAACCCATCTGTTAAACATTTTCGCTTCTCGAAACACGGCGGATTCATCAATTTTAAAAGCGACGATTTGTTGATGGAATCAGGAAGCTTGTCTCTTGCAAGCGAAGACCTGTAGATCGGCTTCCTTATTTAGACGTATATAGCTCATTAGAGGTTCCCTGCAACATAAATATGCTTGTTGGTTCGATCTAGCCACGGACCAATAAAGCGCCATCCGCTGTTGGTTTGGAAAATCAGAGGAAATAATTCCCGAGTCGCATGGTGGTCGAGTGCTCGTAACGTGTGGATATTGTAGGATGGCACTTCCACGAATTTAGAGAAGATCACTCTTAAACAGCATTCAAATACGAGAAAGAGGAGAGGATGGGGTGTCTCTCAGTTACAGTTAAACCCATATGCAAATCTGAACAGCTCTGTCAATGACGGATGCAAAACAACGAACTTAATGAAAGAAATGCAGCCATCCTCGTTAAAACGCGTCGATTAATGCCAAGTGTGGTATAAAGCGGGTCCTGGGATTTGCTATTAAAGTGTGTTTCATGAGGTAAAGAATTAACGTTATGTCGACGGAGTGAACAGTATCCAATCGAGTGGGGTGACGCTACGTATGCTTGAGATATGCGGAAAGGGTCGCAAAGTCAAACTATCAGGCAGTCGATGGTTATGGTTAGTTGTGGATGTAGCGCAAGCACGCTCGTTTTATTCAGCTTATGTGAAATAAGTTATATGACAGGCTTAACTCTTTTATTTACTGCCTTTTTCTTCTTAATGGCAGGGTATGTTGTGAAATATAACTCGTATGAAATGCTGAGATATCTGCAAAACTCCGGACCACAGGTGTATGCAGTGGGGAACGAACACGCGCTGTTGTCCTTACCGGGGAGCAGCGCACTTCACCACTACACCATCCGGGTCCTTCGCTTTCGGCATTGAACCCAGTTAAGCTGAGGCCTCGTTATAATCACAATCTTAACTCTTTTATTTACTGCCTTTTTCCGATATTGGCCCTCCCCCCCCCCTCCCCCAGATCAATCCCGTTGATGGGTGATTGCTGTGATTGCTGATGGCAAAAAGATCGATAGAACTAGCTGAGATACATGCAAAGCGAAGGACCCGGATGGTGTAGTGGTGAAGTGCGCTGCTTCCTGGTAAGGACAACAGCGCGTGTTCGTTCCCCACTGCATACACCTGCGGTCCGGAGTTTTGCAAATATCTCAGTATTTCATACTGGTCACATATTTTTGCACAAATGAATTGTTGCCTTTAGTATTGATGTCTGCTATGTGGATCTCTATTTTTGCTCTCTATTCACTTCTCTCTTCGCTGTATTCGATGACTATTACAAATAAACCAATGGAAAAATTTAGTTATGGTTTAGCACGTGTGCCAGTCTTAGCAGTCTTTAGCTCGACCGTAAGTCACGTAGTGCTTTTTTTGTTCTGCTGAAACCATGTAATCTGCTACTTTAGGTGCTTGCGCAATTATTCTCGATCTTTTTGTCGAAAGAATCATTCGAACACTTACTTTCACCCCAGCACCAAGGTACCCATGATACTACAGCGTCACACGAACATGATGTGACAACTGTAGGTAAGTAATTTCTATCTAATCAAGGTCGAGGAATAAACTGGTAATGGACAGACGAAATTAGTCGAGAGTGACTTTCATACACTATGTTCGCTTCCCAAGCGGTATTTTTTTTAATAATTGTTGAAACTTGTTGTGCGAAGTCTTTTTTTTTGTACGAGATGAGCTAGTTTAAGGTAGCTGGCCATATTTCTTGGGTACAGTAGCATCATCTGTTGCTTTGCTATTATCCGCATATGCTTTGAAGAATCAACCATTCCAACATGTCCTAACTTCGTCAAGCAGTTCAAGTTTGCAGGTGACTCTGTAGAATATTTGGTACCTTCTATGAACTCTTTTTGGCATAGATTTTATAGTTCGTGCTTTTCTTAGGAACATGCTGCAGATATTTGTCATGCGATATGTTGGGTTGTACCCGGTTTATCCCGTCTGCTACTACCCCGTATTAACTCGCTGGTGTTGTTGGCAGCAGTAACTAGTACAATGCTCCTGCTCTGTGAGCATTTTAGGTACTTTTTCAAAGTTATGTACACTTTAGCTTTTACTTTTTGTGAATTAGCAGCGCAATATTGTAGGCACGACTTTGTCTGGGCTGACCCGGTTTGTTGCTTGATATTATCAGTGGCAGTTTTCTCTACAATGTGGCCGCTATCCACATATACGGGCATGATTTTGCTTCAAACAGCTCCACCCCATCTTCTTAATCAAATTGATAGGTGGGGTTATTACAAATATTTTACTACTCATTATCTTACTTTGATACTTTGTTGGCCCGTCCTCACTGGTTGTGCCGATCCAAGCACAATCTCAATTTTTTCCGAGTTTTGTCGGTTCAGCCATTGTGGTTCCCCGGAATCCCGAGCTCAGCAAGGCCAAAGTCTGCCCCACGTCGTCACCACTCACTCGTTGCCTTTGTGGATCAGAGGAAGATTTGTCACCATGCGACTAGATTGGTACCAGGACGGTGGCGGATCCTGGTGCTGGTTTACTATTAGCTGAGCTTCCTGATGGGAACGCCGGACTCCTCAGTTTGGGAAACCCTGCCAGGGCGATGAATCCGCCACTGTACATCGCAGTGCCACGCCCAGTACCACCTCCCAACCACGATGGGGCGGTAAACCGTTGGGAGGCTCACTCTCTATTGTAAGCATTTTGTCATTTTTGTCTTAACATCCCTTGCAACGGTTTGTCACTTCATCGTGGATGGGAGGTGTTCCTGGGTGTCGAGCTGCGATGTACAGCGGGGAGCTTGATTCCCCTAACAGGGCCTCTTAAGCTGAGGGGTTCGGCGTTTCCATGAGGAAGCCTAGCTAAAAGTAAACCAACGCCAGATTCACCACCGTCCTGGTGTCGAAGTCTTATTTTGACAAATCTCACTTTGATCCACAAGAGCTGCGAATGCCTGTGGTAGTGAAGGCCTGGAGCACACTTTAGCCAGGCTGGCCTCGGGATTCCAAGGAACCACAATGGCTTGACCAGCAAATCTTAGAAAAATGGAGGTTATGCTGGGGTGCGCGCGACCAATGTGGACGGGCTTTTCAAGTATCAAGTATGTGGACATCTCTGCCTAGGACACTTTCAGCTGTACTTCTATGTGAATCGAAAAGTAATTATTTTCCTAATTCATGACGTTGAACCTAAAACTTCTGAGGAAATTTTGAACAAAAGGCAACTACATGCCGCATAGCCTCAATGGTGTCCAAGCGTTCAAACAGAATCAATTACTGTTATATTCTTCAAATAAACTTTCACACAACTCTCTAGATGTATTTCTGAGGCTTCAACCGTCGAGGGCGTGCTTGAGATTCGTTCTCGTCACTTTTGGCAACTAGATTTTGACCAACTGGTCCGTGTTTTCAATAATTTCTTTCATTTCATTTATTATATCGATGGTTTTATAAATGTTTTTTTTTTTGCTTAGGTTGGGACAATGGATGTCCGAGTACGAAGAGATGCAGATGAGCAAAATGTTCTAACTCTTGTTACTGACAAGATGTCATCCGTTGTTAATATTTTGACAGTACAGGTGTTTATACATGTTCCATCATACTGGTATGGTCTTGGATTTTTCATTTTTAGATTGTCAAGGATGCTGCGTGGCACACTGTTGAGGGATTAAATACTGTACGTTACATTTGTGAAGCCTACATCGATTTTGGATTTATGAAATAACTCTTGTGAAGGATAACGAAGTGTATACGTATTGTACATGTACTATTGTCTTATTTATTACCTTTTGAAGGAACGTGGACATTTTCATGGAGGCGAACATACTCTTGGGCATAGTCATGGTCGTGAAGACAATCGTGGTCATTCCCATAATCATAGTGGTGAATTGCTTGCAGTTTCACCTGAGATTCAATGGGAACGGTTAATAATCTGCCACTTCACAGGTGATGCTCACTCCCATAATGACAGTTGTTTTCACGGAAGCAATCATGGGCACTCTCACTGAGCGTCACTAAATCCCGTCATCAAAATGAGTGTTACGGAACAAATAGTGATCATCATCTTATTAATAAACTGTGAAGGTAACCTGGTTACGACTATTCGTACCTGTTTAGTGTATTGGGTACAAGAAGTCGTGTCCATGTGACTTATAAGTGAGGCTTAATAATGGCATAAAACTCTGATTTTGATTAATTCCTAATTTTGTTAACATCGTAGTGTTGCCAAGCCTAGAATTCTTACAAGTTAGTGTGAAAATTCGTGATTATTGTTGTTGCGTTTATATCTGTGTGGTTGATTTTGTTTCGATTAATATGAGAGGTTGTCCATTTTGCTGAGTGACGGACACTTTTACATCCTCGTACATATTTTCATATGTGATTTTCCTACTATTGGGAGGTTTCACTGTGATGGTTCTATTCCATAAGGAGTGTGTATGATTGTTAATTTTTTTATTCGATTGAATCTTACATGATGTAATGTGATCCAGTGTGATATCATTTTGATCACAGAGTTCTGATTCTCTATTGTAACCTGGGCCAAATTACAAAGTTGAGGGAAGATGAAAACACCTAATGGTAGATGAATCGAGTGTTCTATCGAGCCGCACACTCGGCCGCTGCTAGAAAAGCGCTTCTGGAGAAGGTTATCCGAGTAGATCATGCTGGAGAGTTGGGAGCCGATCGTATCTATGCTGGGCAAATGGCTGTACTTCAAGGTATTAACACGCTAAAAATTACTATGTGCATGGTATTTAGAGGAAAATGGTTGTTTGTTGAGAATATGTTTAGTGTCCAAGAAAAGAAACAGAAAAAAAAGATGAAAAATTCTAGCGATAACCGGATGTGGGTTTGGAACACTTCTCCGGTATCCCATTCCACAGAGTCTGCAAGCTGATTATTAAGATTTTACTTATTGTATCATATTACCTATTATATTATATTATTGTGTTATTTATTGCTATACTTTTGTGGAATATTAATGTGAACTGTGAGCACAAGATATTTTGTGCCTAGTTGTGAAAACTTGCCATCCATAATATTGAGATTTTGTGTCCGACTAGAGCACAGAATTCAGGTTCCACTGTTGGTTCTGTGATCAAGAAAATGTGGGACGAAGAGCGTGAGCATCTTGACACTATGGAAAGGCTAGCTGCGAAGCATGATGTGCCACACACTATTTTCGCTCCAATATTCAGCGTAGCAGCCTACACTGTCGGTATCGTGGTTTACTTTTTTACCTCCGGCTTTGTAAGAATGCCTTGAGCCACAAGCACTTCTGGTGCCTTCGATGTCAAGTTTTGCATTCATGAAACCCTTCATTAGGATTTGCTTCGGCACTTCTTGGCAAAGAGGGAGCAATGGCGTGTACAGTTGCTGTGGAGGAGTTGATAGGACAACACTACAATGATCAACTAAAAGGTTTTTTTCAAAAAGACATCTCAGAGACGCGAGATATACTGCTACTTGTTACGATTATCATAATTTCAGATGTTATATTGCTTATAATACGGAAAACATCTGGAGTTTTGTTTTTTCAGAGTTACTGGCGGACGATCCCGAAGCTCATAAAGAACTTTTGGAGGTACTAACAAAACTGCGTGATGACGAACTTAATCATCATGATATTGGCATTAAATATGACGGTCTCAAGGTATTTATGATTGAATATAAAGCTAAATCGTATTATACAAATTTCTGCATTGAAAGCAAACATCTGAAGATATAAGTTTAGGCACCAATGTTCGAAGTCCTGAGGTGGGTGATCCAAACTGGATGTAGAGGTGCAATTTACATCGCAGAAAGAATCTGATTCCAATTCGTTCAGTCTCTAGATATATTTTATCGTATGATAATGAGGCTAATTTGTGGATCGCATTAAATTTCTTCCATGCAGAATAAACTTTCTTGAGCGAAGGTTTCGAGAAAAAGGAGGAATCTTTGCTGTAAACTTCTATACCACTAAGATTGGAGTGATAGGTGCTAATGATGTTCATCTACTTTTGTGTAGTTGTGTCACAATGGTTGCACTCTATTATACATTCGCTGATGTCGTGAAGAAATCTTTCTGTTTGAAATAATCCTTTACTCTGACAATAAAGGCCGCCAATCAGTAGAAGTCGCTTAACGGCCTCAAGGAAGATGCATAACATTTTGCGCTGCTCTTACATTATTTGCTCTTACGTCAACATTAGATTTTATCTTGATAGGTGACACATATTCGGGCATTTCAGACGGTAGGATGGAAGAAGTGAGGAAGTGCATTTGTATTTACAAATCAATGTTGCGACGAGCGCTAGTCAAATGTGAAGTGATGAAGTGTCTAAGGAAGAGCGAAATAGACATCTTCAGTAGTCATTCACAGTGAGTACCTCTGCGTACTTGTGGCGGTTAATGGTATGTACAAAAGGGGCGAAGTTGCAGTGCATAAGTTCATCGTATCTTACTGATACTCATGCTTTGGCATCGTTGATGTGCACTTTTGACTTCGCAGAAATCCAAACCAACTGTCTGTCGACGTCAACGAGTTGCGAAGTTAGTTGGAAGGCCCTCTGGGAACGCACGAATTCGCGACAACACTCGACTGTCATCGTCTTAACATTGAAGACTTTCTAACACATACTCGATTTGTTTTCGAAATTGACGAATTATGAACATCTTTCCATTATTTATCACGAAAAAATTTAGGTTTAAATATGGTACTAATATTAAAAGTCGGACTAAATGCGCAACTGTGGGGAAATAGACCGCTTTTCTGACTTGAGATAGGTAATTGTAATGGAACAGAACCCCGAAACAACTATTTTCATAACTCGAGATCAGTTGTCTCCTACAATAAAAAGTCACTTTTCCGAGTTTTATAAGCTAAAGTTATTTTACTAGCTTTTCTAACTCCCGTAATATATTGAACATTAGGAAAACAACTAAAAATTTAGATACTTTCGGTGTAATTCGGTGAGCGTAGTTGAAATACCACCGAGTAATCTTAAGCGCCAGCTAGTTCGTAACCGCCTATGTGACCGTCTATGAACAAAATGCAATGTTCAAAATGCAAAATGAAATGCAACTGAAAATTGCATAATTTGCCCCAGTGGTAGAGACGGTGATTGCACGAGCTCGGGTATAGTTTATCTGATCTCCTGTAAGACGTGTGGTGACGAATACATTGGCGAAACGGGTAGACCCTTCTGTGTCCGCATGAAAGAACACCTAGCCGGCAAAAATAGACCAAATACCCCGCTAGGCACGCATAGGACCCAGAGACATAACGGGGACGACTTCGAAGTATGTGTCACGATCCTCGCACGCGAATCGAGAACACAGGCGCGAAAAACCCTCGAGGCACTCTGGATTAATTCCAGAAATCCGAAAATGAACCGCAGGGAAGAATGCCTCATTATCATGCGTGATATAGGGCAGTATATAAAGCTGCTTTTCTGATGTGAGGGGCACATTATACCTCCACGTGATTTCTGTGCGGTTGATCTCTACGTGACATACTTAGTGGAAACCTCATAGGAAGTGGTGAGTGTGCAAAGCTGTGTTCAAAGTGATTGAAATCTTGGTTTGGAGTTTCTTTGTTTGGTTATGGAGGCGTCTGGCCGAGTGAGTTGCTATCAACTTGACCTTTCCAGGCTCTGAGGAAGGCGAAATCCGCCGAAACGTCAGCTCAATCGTGAACAAAGAATAGTAACACCTTGCGTTTGCTCAACAAAAATACCAAGAAAATCATTTAGATACTTTGTCGGTACAAAGTGTTTCCGAGTCGTGACTACTACCCAAACCTTCGCTAGTTATCATAGACGTAAAACTAACTCTCTTCTGAATTTCTCGCTTGCAGGACGACTGAAATTCGTTACTTTGATTCATTCGTAACAGAACTAGCAGATGAACACATCATACTCCTTAGGTTGGATAACCTTACCCTGATAACTCGACTTCAGAACGAAGTCTTCGAAGAATATCGCACTGAACGGTGCTAAGTGTATGATGCTAAGTTATAAATGTGGATATGTAGACATGTATAGAAAGACAATAGGGCACGGTTAGCGCAATGGTAGTGCTGCCGTGCGATACGGTCGAAGCCCCAGCTCGACCCGAACCTAGAACAAGCAGGCCTGCTATCTCTTAGGCTGGATAATTGATGTTATCCTAGTGCGGGAAGCTCTAACTGGTCTACAAAAGAAGAATGCTGTTGCATCGATGTTGAAAGAATGGCTTCCGGTTCTAGGGAATAGATGTATTCAACGACATCGGTGATGAAGATGAAAATTTTCAACGCGAAACCGAAAACTCTAGAGGATGATGGACGCAAGGAAACGAACTGAGTGCAAGCTAGGATTTGTACGATGCGTGAAGATCGATCCTGTATAAAAACAGTAAGGAAGATCACGTCCTATTAAGAATTCTAATCAGTCTAGAAATTGAACAGTCAGGTAGTAAGGCGAGAATTTAGACAATGCTATAAGAAAAAACCAGTCCAATGAAAATAAAAACACTAGTTGCACAGACCGGTGCGTATTCAGATGTTTTTTCTTTTCTTACTGTGTTGACAATAATCGCGCTCGCGGAAGGATAAAGCAAGGATTTTTTCACCTTCGAAATCCATGAAATCGGCCTATTCTGTTCGGTCTTCAATAGAGTTATTGGGTACTTTTATTCGCAGTACTGAATGAAAAATCTGAGTAAGGTGCGATCTTCTTAGTTAAGAAGCCAGCCATCTCGATCGCATCAGGTTTTTCGGTGAATTAAACCTCCATGCGATTTACTCCAACAGAAATCAATGTTCCTACCTTGTTTGGTTGTTTGTGCTTCGTCTCCATAAATCCTTGACTTCTGATTCCAGCGAATTTATTGTCTACTATAGTATCGAGGCCAGCTGGTATGAAAGACTTGAGTTGTTATGGTATACTTGTAATGGAAGAAAATGAAGTTTACGTCTGTCGGAAAGGGCTGATAAAACGTTGTTCGTCTCAATGGTGTCGAACTCCTTCCTATACGACGAAAAACTGGGACAGGTTGTAAAACGTTAGACGTAAGATAAGTGGTGGACGGTAGTTTCAGAATCTTTACATAACTCCAGCTACAGCTTATATACGGTATATACAGTAGAATCTCTACCAAAGTCCTCGATCAGTCTGTTAGGTGGAATTCCTTCCTTACTATGCGTAGTGCGACAACTTTCCTGAATAGTTTGTAGAATACACTTAACAAGCAGGTCAAAGCTGTATCGGTCCCTTCCGTTTCTCTCACAGGGAAATCTGTCCTTTGCCGGTTTAGTAAGGATATTCCTGTTTCTTTTTTAGTAATTACTGGCAATTAACATTTGCCTGTTTTGAGAATTTGCTTCTTTGTCAAGTTACTTAGTGTAAACCCACTAAGCGTACAAGAAAGGACAGTGCTATAGAGTATTTGGACAGATAACTTACCTCCCTATTGTATCAAGTTAAAAAATGACGCTAGGAAGCCTTACTGATAAGCCGGTTCGAAGTGCAACTCCTAAAGCATCGTTCTTTTCTGTTACATTGCTTCAGCGCTCTTGCCAACGTTGTTGAAATGTTTTTAATAAAGTAGAAATAACCAATACTTCAATACCAGGATCCACCATCGTCCTGGTATCAAACCAGTCGCATGGTGGTAAATCTCCCTCTGATATACAATGGTTGCGATTGCCTGTCGTGGTGACGACCTGGGGCAGACTTTGGCCAGACTGTTCTCGCGACTCCAGGGAACCACAATGGCTGAAACACCAAGTCTCCGGAGAATGAAAATTATGCTGGGAACTTTAGAATCCGCAGAACTTTTCCAACCAGACACAAGTCTCCTTATTCCATTCTGAGTAAATTCTGATTCACTTATTTATTCTTTACCAATATTTCTCACCTTTCCTTTTCGTCGAGGTTCGTACCTTGAACGAAAAGGCAACTGAGCAAGCGACCTTTCATCCAGCAGCATATGATGGTCTCCATAATTTAGTGCTAAACGAACTTAAAGGCTGAAAGAGTACTTCACATTTGTTTTGCTATTGTTCTATTTTTATACAGTAAAAATCACATATAGTCCCAAAGCGATAGAAAAGAAGTCCCTCTATAGGAAAGCCCCTGAAGTTCTCGATTACTGAACTACTCTGTCGATCCAGGTGTCTGAATGCATTTTAGAGTCTTCTTATCTAAAACTGAACTCCAAACAAACTATTCGCGTTGCTTTTTCAATTTAGTCGTCTAGCTACTATCGAGAAAGGAAACTAGAGGAGGTGTGGAGGAAATATGAAAGGAGGGAGGAGTATTCCAGAAAAGTCAAAGTGACAGCTGGTGGCAGAGAATTTGGCGAAAACAGATGCAAAACACGAAACAGTGTGAACGCTGGGCATTTGGTTCACTACGCAGTGACAAAAAAGGTAAAACGAAAGAAAAGGGAATTAGACAATAGCTAGATGATTTCACGAAAAAGGAAAGTGGTCCCGAAGACACAGATGACCGACAGATCGTCTAGTGGCAAGCTGAATCGCCTACAACAACCTTTTGTCTGTAAACGACAAATCCTTCTCAGTCTGCTAACACGTAAGGACTTTCGACCATTCCTCTCAGGATAAGTTGTTAAATATTGACTTTGCCATGCGTCTTGGAACGTTAATAATTGTTCAACATAAAATAGGTCGGAATTACAAGTTTAACAAACTTGTTCAGGCTTGTTAATGGGGACGCAACATTTCTTCCTTTGGTTCTTTCTTGGGTTATTTGTTCCACTTTTTTCCTTCATTCTTCCCAACAGTTTATCGCCTCATCGTGGCTGGGAGGTGTTCCTGGGTGTCGG